CGACTTTCGTTTAGATCTCTAAGGCTAAAAGTCGCTCTATCGTAAATTCACTATTTACGTCTCCCGGTGCCGTGCCGGTTCTGTCGCGAAATTTCGACAGGCCATAACTCTTTCGTTATAACTCGGATTTCGGCGTTCTTTGTATCCCCAGAATCCTTGTAACATATACTACCACTTGGTTAAGATTATTCCTTATAAATAATCTTCCATCAAAAAATCATTTTTGATGCTCATTGTCTCTAAATTGACTAGCCCGGATCTACGGGCGTTACACCAATGCCCCAGCAGCGTTCATGGATCTCATGAACAGGGTGTGTAGGCCGATGTTGGATTGGTATGTGATCATTTTTATTGATGAAATCTTAGTGTATTCTAAGACCAAGGAGTAGCACGAGCAACATCTGAGGGAGGTATTGGAGATACTGAGGACGGAAAGGCTTTATGCCAAGTTCTCGAAGTGTGATTTCTGGTTATGATAGGTGCAGTTTTTGGGGCAAATCATCAATCAAGAGGGTATTTTGGTTGATTGAGCCAAGATTGAGGCGGTAATGCGGTGGCAAGTACCGAAGAATGCATATGATATTCGTAGCTTCTTAGGTCTAGCGGGGTATTATTGGAGATTCATCTAGGATTTCTCCAAGATCTTCGTACCCTTGAATCGCTTGACCAAGAAGAATGTGACTTTTCGGTGGGGCCCGGACCAACAGTTGGTTTCCGAGACCTTGAGATAGAGGTTATGTGAGGCCCCGATTTTAGCATTACCCGAGGGGCTGGATGATTTGGTGGTGTATTGTGATGCATCTATCACAATATTGGGGGTTGTTTTGATACAGAGGGGGCATGGGATCGCGTACGCCTTGAGGCAGCTGAAGCCTCACGAGGCGAACTACCCCAATCACGACCTAGAATTGGGGGCAGTTGTGTTTGCCCTCAAAATCTGGAGGCATTAATAGTACGGAGTTCGGTGCACAATCTATACTGACCACAAAAGTTTGAAATATTTGATGGATTAGCAGAACCTTAACATGCGACATAGGAGGTGGTTGGATGTACTGAAAGATTATGACTGCGAGTTTTTATACCATCCAGGGAAGACCAATGTGGTGGCCGATGCTTTGAGCCGCAAGGTGGCAAGTGCTCCGATCGGGAACGTTTGTTTGAGCATGGCAGTGATCTCTCCATTGTTGGATATGATCAAGGAGGCTCAGGTGGAGGGTTTGAAGAAAGAGAACTGGAAGATAGAGCGGATTCGGGGTCAGATTCCCTTGTTTGTTCGAGATAGTCGAGGTCTTCTGACACAGTGTGGCCGGGTGTGGATACCGGTATCCGTAGGAGTGAAACAGAAAATCTTGGAGGAGGCACACAAATCCAAGTTCTCTATTCACCCAAGGACCACAAAGATGTATATGGATATGAGGTTGAGTTACTGGTGGCCTTGCATGAAGCGGGAGATTGCGTGGTTCGTGGAGCGGAGCTTGACCTGCAGGAAGGTCAAGGTCGAACATCAGAGGCCTCACGACAAGGTTTAGCCGTTACCCATTCCTATGTGGAAATGGGAAGAGATCACCATGGACTTCATCACGAAGTTACCGAGGACGGTGATGGGCGTGGATTCCATTTGGGTCATTGTGGATAGACTGACGAATAATGCTCATTTTATTCCGATCTCTGAGAGCATCCCTGCTGAAAAATTAGCAGATATTTATGTGCGGGAGGTGGTGGTTAGGCACGGGGTGCCAGTGTCGGTGGTTTCTAACCGGGATGTCCGATTTACATCCAGATTCTTGAGAAAGTTGCACGAGGAACTGGGCACACAGTTACACTTCAGCACTGCTTACCACCCCCAGACAGATGGTCAGAGTGAGAGGACAATCCAAACACTCGAGGATATCCTTCGGGCATGCGTGCTGGATTTTGGAGGGAGTTGGGATACATATCTCCCACTAGCAGAGTTTTCATATAACAATAGTTATCATGCTAGTATCGATCGACCCCCGTTTGAGATGTTGTATGGTCGGAGGTGTAGGACCCCAATTTGTTGGGGTGAGGTTGGACACCGAGTAATGGGAAGCACCGAGGTGGTGCTCAAGATTACCGAGTTGATTTAGCTGGTGCGCGACCGACTGCGAGTCGCATAGAGCCGCCAGAAAAGTTATGCTGACCGGCGTCGATCGGACCTCGAGTTTCAGGTGGGATATTTTGTCTTGCTGAAAGTGTCACCATGGAAGGGTGTCATTAGATTTTGGAAGAGGGGCAAGTTAGGGCCTCGATATATTGGTCCGTTCAGGGATTCTGCCCGGGTGGGCAAGGTGGCTTACCGTTTAGATCTGTCGGACGAGCTTAGCCAGATTCACAACACCTTCCATGTGTCTCAGCTTCGGAAATGTGTCACAGAAGAGGCTGCGGTTATCTCTTTGGATGACATTCAGATAGATGAGAGTCTGAATTACATTGAGGAACCTGTTTCAGTTTTGGATAGGAAGACTAAGGTTCTTCGTAACACAGAGGTGAAGCTAAAAAAGGTGCAATGGCAGCATCAGAAAGGCTCTGAATGGACATGGGAGCCGGAGGATGAGATACGGGAGCATTACCCGGATCAGTTTGCGTCTACGGACTTCGAGTACGAAGTCTAGTTTAAGTGGGGGAGAGTTGTAACGCTCCAAATCAGGTAAACCATTATAACCCTTTTAAATGATTTAGTTGGCAAAAATGGTCCCTTTTTGTACGCTGGGCGTACGTAAGGGTACGCTTAGCGTACTTTGGAGGAAGGATCACGAAGGAGTATTGAGTACGCGGGGCATACGCCACAGAGGACCAAAACCCTAATTTTCGGACTTTACACCTATTTAAGCATCCTTAAGTCATTGGGACTAAGCCCTAATCCGCCTCTAGAGCCTGATTTCGTCCCTTTACCTCAGTTTTCTTTTGAGAATGTGATTTGGAACATAGAAGTGTGTTGGTGGCCATTTTGGAGCTATTCAAGAAGAAGAAGTTAGTGAGCAAGCTTGGAGTGACATTGGGCTTCAAGAATCTTCATCTAGTGCACCTTGAAGAGCTTCTGGAGGTATAAAGTCTTGATCTTGCGTTCTTATTCATTGGATCTAGTTAGGGTTTTCCATATTGTCCCTTTTGTTAGTTCTTGGACCTTCTCTTGAGAGTTGAGCAACTCCAGAGACTGAAATGGTTTGATCTAGGCTTTGTGAGCATGCTAGATGCATAAAGGTGCTAACTTGAAGGTTATCTAGACTCCATGCATGAGTTTGAAGCTTTATATGAAGTCCTAATGTGAAGAATGAAGTTTTGAAGTCCCATATGGCATGCAAAGGCATAAAGTTGCCAACTTTATGCCCTAGGACTTGTTAATGAACTCAGATCTGATATTAAACGTTAGAACATCAACTATTAAACACTTAATGGAATTAGATGCTTAATCAGCTTGTACGTTGGGCGTAATATAGCGTACGTAGCGCATACAGTCCGGGGACTCACTATGCTAAGTGTATTGAAGTGGTACGCTAGGCGTACGCACCCTAGTGGGTTTTGGGCTTCGTATGGGCTTGTAGATTCTTTAGGCCTTATCTAGTTTTGGGCCTAGTCATATTTTGGGTTAGTGGTCCGATTTATATGTTCTAGGCCATGGTTGTTTTGGTTGGGCCTTATTGGGCCATGTGGCCCATTAATAGTTTTGGACATGGACTTTGGGCCCATTAGCAAAGGAAGACTCTTGGGCCATTATGAAAGGACTTGGTCTTGGGTACTTGGGTTCTTTAATTAGATTATATTCAACCCTAATTTTGGGTTAATGGTATTATTGTTCATCACGGGTGGTTTCGGACTGTTAAGAGAGCAGCTTTCGGGTTCAGCAGACAGAGGTGACTCTCCTCACCATACCAATGGGTCTTAGGCACCAAGGCCGACCCATTATATGATATGCGTATTGTTAGACTGATTATGTGTTATGTTGATATGATATTTTCATGGAAGACCCGAGGGGTTCCCATGACAGTAGATTAAGACCATGTGGGGGTTCCCATGACATTTGGTGTAAGACCTTGGAGGGTTTCCATGTCATCCTAGTATATTTGTATGTTTAGCTTGTATGATATTTCTTGGGTTAGTGAAAACAATGTGGGGGTTCTCATGGCAGCTAGTGGAGACCATGTGGGGGTTCCCATGGCAGTTAGTGAAGACCATGTGGGGGTTCCCATGGCAGGTAGTTAAGACCACATGGGGGTTCCAGTGGCACTCGGTATAAGACCTTGGAGGGTTTCCATGGCATCCCTATATGTTGTATGCATGGCTTATGTGGTTTATGTAGGTGTTATAGCTAATTTGGATTATGTGATTATGTGGATTGTGTGGGGTATGCTCTGGGGGAACTCACTAAGCATTATCTTACAATTTTTTGGTTGTTACAGGTATTTCAGAGCCTAAGGGCAAAGGCAAGGCTTGATGGCGCGACATGCACTCTCCGACATTTTATTTGTGGACACTCTGATATTATGAATAAAATGTTTGATGTTATGGATTTTGAAAATAATTGTTAAATTTTATAAAGTTAAACATTATAAAATTAAATGAAAGGGAATAAATCTAAATGTCAAATTTTATAAAGTTAAAGGGTGAATATAGTATTTTTCATTTTAAACATTAAATGAAAGGGAATAAAAGAGTATTAAACATTAAATGAAAGGGAATAAATCTAAATGTCAAATTTTATAAAGTTAAAGGGTGAATATAGTATTTTTCATTTTAAGTTTGGGGTAAAAGGTGTAGCAAAAGAGGATTATCAGGGACCAATATTGAAACTTTCAATTCAAAAACTATTTCTCTCTCATCGGTAGATATATGCCGAGTTATAATGTCGAATTGTGTTTGTCACAGTGACGGCGCAGTGTTCGCCGAAGCCACGTCAGTTTTGCCGAGATTTCTATCGAACCACACCTACCTGTCATATATGTAGAACTGCTAGTGTTATTATTTTTTTTGCAATTGAAGGAATGGTAAAAGATCGTAGTAAGACTAGAAAGCAGAATTGTGATACATCTACAAGCACTCTGACTGACAACTGTGATCTGCGACCTTGGTCAGATCTTAGCCATGATGTGCTTTATTTAGTTACGATAAAACTTGGAGTTGTTGATTGCATTTCATTCAGTGGAGTTTGCAAGTCATGGAGGTCATTCACACTATTTAAGAAGAAAAAGTTTATGGCTTCCAAACCACGCATGTTGATATGGATCTCTGCTTATGCTCATGAGAAAAACTACTGTTACCTAGCGGATGTTGAAGAAAGAGTTTTCAGAACCAGCCTTCCCCATTTTCGTGGGAGGACGTGTGTTAGATCAACTTGTGGTTACTTGATCATATTGTGGAAGGAAACAAAAGACTTATGTCTTGTGAATCCTATCACAAGGCATCAAATTCATTTCCATAATGTCTATTTTTGTGTTGATGCTAATTGCAAAATAGGAGTTAGGGCGATCCTTGTGTTTTCACCTACAATATTTGGGTAGGTGTTAGCTATTTTAAATAGACACATGAATGAAATATGGATTTCTAAACAGGGTAATGGAGCATGAGATCGAGTCTCCTCCACTTCGCGCATCCTTTTCGCGCATGCTTGATTTACATTTTTTCAAAGGGAAGATATATGCCATAAATGTCGTTTTTGATTTTTATGAATTGAGATTCTATCCAGTGCCCAGTTTGATGTTGCTTGAAACCAAGAATTTTAAAGCCAGTACTCATGTTATAATCGGCAGTTTGTAAGATTAGGGGACAACCTTTTTGTGATGGATGAGGTTATAGACATTGTTCTTGAACTGTATTTTGGTAAAATGGAATAAAAGTATGTATTTTTTACTAGCAAAATGGGGGCTTTTTGTTGCTCTACCAGCTTTGTAGGCTGGCTTTTGGTCACAACACACCGTATATGGTGTCATTGCTAAAATTGGAAAATTTTGGATTGTTAAAGGAGACATGTGGTACTTCCCAATGAATTTAAATTATGATATCATAGATGAGTGATCATGACTTGTTATCACTCGTATCTTTGTTTTTGTTTTTGTATATGTTTGGAACATTTTTAAGATTTTTGAGAACTAGCATAATCCATTCTTTTTTAATTTGTTTTAGAATAGCAATTGAATAACTCTGTTTGTCATTATTATAGAGTTTATAGTGGATGTCTAACATAATTCCTACTTTCCTACTTATATAGCACAACATATTTGAAACTTAGATTTGCTTGACAAAAACATATAATATAGTCACCCAAAAAGTCTGACACATTTTAATATTGCATGCCATCATTTGTATAATTCTATGTTTTTATACATTCCATTCTTAGTTGTATTTCACCCAAAAAATGAAAACATTTTATGCCATCATTTGTATAATTCTATGTTTCGGTATGTTCCAGTTTAATTGAACTTTTTTGTGTGTGTGTGTGTTGGAGACGACTACTCATGTAAATACATACAAAAAGTTTTTCCCAAAACATCATTGTAAAATAATGGCATAGTCATAAGGTTATGCATCCATTAAGCATAACATTATGTTATTAGAATTTATGCTACAAGAGAAGTAAAATTACAAAACACAACAAACCCAGCCAATATCATTAAAACGGATAGAGGGAGGATGGACATAGATGTTGACATACATGCCACCATAGGATTAGAACGACCGTGTCACACTCCGTCACATAGGTTGTGACATCCCCATTTTCGCCGCCAGAAAAGACCGATTTTGTTTATGCTTTATAAAAATTAGAGTACTTCTTTTAAAAAAAATCTTGCGGAATTTGTTCCCAGAAAAACATGATAAATATGTTATCAAATCATTTCCGAAGAAATGTATTTTTATTCATTTTAAAACATTTGGGATGTCATCGTTAATACAGAAACATAAACATAAACAGAACTTACATTCATTTACACTAGTGATCTACATCTCTTTTAAATCTTTCAGTGCAATGTAACTTCATATCGACACATGTGATACAAATAAACTGAGTGGGTCAGGTTGGGAAACCTGGTGAGTACATAGGGTTTTCAACCCACAATAATATAATTATTATGTTTAAACATCAAACAATCAACCCAATTACCCATCCCCATTATCTTCTTTACACTTAAGGATCTACCCTAAGAATCAATTATTCCTCGTTCATTCATTCCTAGGGATCATCCTAAGGAATCGGCACGAAGTCAATCGTTGTCAATGATACAGCTGTCAAGAAAAGCTGCTAGTTCTATCACTTAGGCGCAGCTGCCAGAATTGTGACATTCTATGTGAGGCGCAGCTACCAGTATTTTCCTTCGAGCACAGCTGCTAGGGTTATCTCGTTTATTGACAGTATCGTTTTCGAGAGTCCACTCGCAATACATGTCAATGGGTTTTTACAGTACACCGGTGAACACATCGTTCACAACACCTACAGGTTGCAAGCCTGCCAGTGTTCCACTGGACTGTCTAGAATAGTCCGTGGTTGTCATCCATACTCTGCTAGATGACGGGGTCATCATTTGGGAAAGTATTCTCACATCGTCCACCTCTCACACTCACCTCGTGGTCTATAACACCTCTCACCTCATCATCCAACCCATATTCCATCTATTACATCTACCCATGTTTTACCCAACATATTCTCGTAGATATATATATATATATATATATATATATATATATATATATATTATATATATACAGTTTAAATCATTTAAAACATGTATAAAATCGTTCATCCAGCATAGATAGCAAGTATACAGATAATATGCACACATAGCACGTAATTTATTTAAAATACTTCATATCTATGTGTAAGATGAAAGCAACTATGCACTCACCTGGAAGGCGGTGACTCTGCACTTGAACAGTGCTTTGTTACTTCTTAAAACAATTTCCCTCGACAAAACCTAGTATCAATACCACTAGGGTTTAGTCTAACGTTAACCGCGACTAATTAATAGTCTAGCTATTATTATTATTATATAAGCGTTAAATAACACTCAATATAACTCATAATAATAGCCCAAATAATTATGATAAGGTCCTAATAACACTATTATATTTAAATAAAAACTATATTAAATATAGTATAGGCGTAGCTCACTTACAACGGGTTTTTATTAAAAACCGGGCTTCGCTGGAGCAGCGTTTCCGAGCCGAAAGCTTTTCTTCTCGGAGCCGTCGGGCGCTCCGTGGCTTCCTTCTCGTGCTAGGGAGGTTCCCTAGACTTGGGAGGGGTTTAGGGAGGCTAGAGAGAAGTTAGAGAGAGAAAGAAAGGCTTATGGTGTGAAGAAATTATGAAGAGTTCATCTCTTATTTATAGGAATTTTATAGTAAAGTAGCCTCCGATCTTCGTCCGTATCTTTCGCGTACGAGCTCCGCTTTCTACGTTCTTTATATCCACGCATTGGTATTTACGAGTACTACAACTTTCATTTAGACCTCGTTGGCTAATTCTCATTCTATCTCGGATTTACAAAACTGTATCGAATTCGCCGCGCTCGAAAAGTAGAGACTAAGCTTCGTCCATAACTTTCGCATACGAGCTCCGTTTTTGACGTTATTTATATCCACGCGTAGGTAAAAATGAAATCTACAACTTTCCTTTTTACTCCGTCAGCTAATTATCGACCGATCTTAAATTTAACAGTAGGAGGTGATTACACTGTTAAATGTCCGCGTAAAATTCATAACTTTTACATACAGACTCCGTTTTCGTCCGTCTTTTTGTCGTTGAGTTCCTATTAATGATATCTTCAACTCTCATTTAGGTCGCGTAACCCAAAAACCGCTCGAACTAAAATTCGAGTTTCGGGCTGTGCACTGCTATGCCAAATCTTAGAAAAATCATAACTTCCTCATACGAAGTCGGATTTGGGCGTTCTTTTTATGGACACTCTCGTTTTAACTTTTTCTACGACTTTTGTTTAGATCGCTAAGGCTAAAAGTCACTCTATCGTAAATTCACTATTTACGCTTCCCGGTGCCGAGCCGGTTCCGTCGCGAAACTTCGACGGGTCATAACTTTTTCGTTATTACTCGGATTTTGGCGTTCTTTATATCCCCAGAATCCTTGTTTCGATCACTACAACTTTATGTAAAGATATCGGGCTTATCTCACACTTTAATTTTGACGCCTATTTTTATTCTTTATTAATTATACATTTATAATTAAATAATAAGCACACAAATACACATAATTCACATAGTATTCAAATATTTCATCTTTATTACTTCAAAATGAGTTACAATAGTTGACCTAGACTATTACATCGTCTAAAAATGCTTAGCCCCGAAACCCGGGCGTTACAATTATCTCCCCCTTAGGATGATTACGTCCCGGAATCATTAATGAAACAGGGCTCACATGATGACTCCATACGTTATCTCTTCATCCTAAGTAATAACCGCAACTTTAATGTTTCTTCGAACGAGTATCTAACTCTAAGATTTCCTGACTATAGGCGGTGCCCGATCTTGGACCCGCTCCCCATCTCACGTTGGACTCCCAATTATAACCTTCAAGTCACAATCTCGATCCTTACCGGAGGCTGCTTCTTCCTCTTAGCAATCTTAGGATTACTACCATGGACCGATGTGTCATATTGTAATGACCTAACATCGTATGTTGCAACGCTTAGACTCAGGTCTTTTAGAGTCAAATTTCCAGAACAGACTATACCTCCCTTCATGTTCTAATGTGATATAATCACATCTTAAAAGGTAGTATTCCTAGCTACAAGCAACTATCCTGATACCTCTACAGATCGCTTTGATTGTCTTTCACTTCAATCTTCTAGCTCAAGTCAGATGCTACATCGGACTTGGTTCTCTGAACCATGTAACATACTCGTCTTAGTCGGACTTAATTTCATATGACCACTAGGGTCGGAATAATAATCATCTTTTTAGTCATTACCGAAACGATGGTAACAACATACTTGAATAAAACGAAATCAATTACTAGCTTCTTGGCAACCTTGTGACTTTCCCTGATCCAAGTGTGAGTCATGTGCTTCCGGTAGTATATGCATCTACTACCTTTCACACCTACTCATACTCATCCCAGGTATTGTCTCGCAGTCCCCAAGTCACCATACAAGAAAATCACATAACAGTTTAACACACCAGATAACAAAACGAAGGCTTTATTATTTCTTGAAACTATTACATAGGTGTTGAAGTTCACCCTATACTATGCCTCTAACAGGTTACATTATACGATACTATCCCTTGGTTACTTCATAACTCGATCTTTGGATATTAAGCCTTCACTCCTAAATCCTTGCATTGTTATCTGCTTCGTCAAGGATCATTTGAAATGCTCTCGCCTTTGGCTTTGGCGGCACATTTGGCTTTGTAGCCCCTTCTCTCTTTGGGCAGTCTTGCTTGAAGTGACCTTCCTCGTTACATGCGTAACATACCCTTTTGTTGAATGTACACTCGTTGGCGTAAGGCCTATGCTTTCCACACTTGAACCAAGTCAGCTTCTCACCGCATG